CGTCCTCGCTGAAACACACACTCCTGGATCCATTCAACACACACACATTTGCACAATTACACACCAATATGCAAATGCACACAGAGCCCCCCCCCTCTCTTTGAGACACATTTAGCATGCAAACGTACAGCACACAGACTTCTACACTCTGCTGCTGAACCTTTTGTTTTCCCTTTTTATTCCTTCTGGGAGCCAATTATTTTACAAACTATCTGGAGTACAGTGAACACGGTCACGTGCTGCTCTGCCCTCCGTCACCGCGTGTTTGTGCATTTAGGTTTGAAGCTCATTTCAGCTCCTTTTGATCAGCCTGAACACACGTGTAGACCGTCTGAGGACAGATCTCCTCAGCTGAACTCGCACATCCTGTCGTGTTGTTTGTGTACCTTTTTTGTAACTGAAGCAACTGCTGTTCAGAATCGATCAGCTCTTCAACACAGTGGAACACAGAAACCGCAACAAGCGTTTTTTTACTATAAATGCTCACGACGCCGTCAGCTACAGCGCGGACTACAGCAGGAGTATAACTGGCCTTACAGGGGACGTGTGTTAATGTATGAAATCAGCTGCGTCTGCATCATCGTACTGCAGCAGGGAGAGTTTGCAGCTGTACGTGCGACCATGGGAACACAAAGTCTCTGCGGTATCGTACATCAGCCTCCCTCAGCCTTGCTCTGGTGTCTTCATGCGACCTTATAGAAATAAAGTTCTGTAAACATTCACACATTTCCTCATAAAACAAACTTTCCTTACTTTTTGTGGCCACATTGATACGCAGCGTGACCGCCGCCACCTGAGACCAGGATGTCAGGATGTGTAATTTGTCACCTACACTGCTGCTGCTGAGAACCGAAGCCAAACCACAACTTCTGTATGTAGGACACTTCCAGTGGTGAGCTAAGGCGAAGCTGAATCACAATCTCGTTCTCTGTCAGCTGTTTCAGGACAATGAGAAGCAACGTCAGCGAGCGAGTGACCACAAGTGAAACAGCTAAAACCAAACTGGTGTGATGTGTATCCTACTGAAACTCAGAACTTCTGCAGCGACAGCCGGACCCTTCTGGACAGTTACAGGAATGTCCAACACGTCCTCCAACCTAAACCACAACAACACGACGCACAGGGAGGTAACTACGCCGTGTTAACGTTGTTAAACGCTGGCAGTTTGGTTAGGTTTAAGAAAACATTGTGGTTTGGGTTAAAGTAAGTTCATTACGTAAAAACTCAGGATAACTCAATATTTACTTGGCGCCACACGGGACTCGAACGCTGTTCTCTCGAGTGTAAGGGCGAACTCACCCGAGCATGTTTGAACCCCACAGGCCAGTTCGTTTGACCAGTGCGATCGCTAACCGTGCCCGCTGCGCGAGAGAGAGCGCTAACGTAAGCGTGCTCGGGTCGTTAGCGCCGCAATGTGAGCGCAGACCAGCGGGGGGAGCGGGCAGGGCAACCAGACCTCGTGTAAGAACGCCCCGAGTCTGACCTCCTTATGTGGACCCGCTCACTATTTATAATACGTCACCCGACTTCCTCCTTCGCTACTGTTGTACAGCCAGCAGAGGGCGCTGCCGCCACAAGAAAGGTTAATCTGGGTCAAGATGGCGTCCTGTTAATGCAGATACCCAGAATTCAGCAGAGCTGCAAGGTTTTCACACATTTACAGCGATTCACACAGCAGGAGGCGCAGCGTGGGGATCTGAGGACAACCTCTCTCCCTCTCTCCCCCCCTCTCTCTCTCCCTCTCTCCCTCTCTCCCCCCCTCTCTCTCTCTCTCCCCCCCCTCTCTCCCCTCTCTCCCCCTCTCTCCCCCTCTCTCTCTTCCTCTCTCTCTCTCTCTCTCCCCCTCTCTCCCCCTCTCTCTCTCTCCCCCTCTTCCTCTCTCCCTCTCCCCCCTCTCTCTCCCTCTCTCCCTCTCTCTCCCTCCCTCCCTCTCTCTCTCCCCCCTCTCTCTCTTCCTCTCTCTCTCCCCTCTCTCCTCTCTCCCTCCCCCCCTCTCTCTCTTCCTCTCTCCCTCTCCCCCCTCTCTCTCCCTCTCTCTCCCTCTCCCCCCTCTCTCTCCCTCTCTCTCCCCCTCCCTCCCCCCACCTCTCTCTCCAGCAGCAGCTCTCCCTCTCCCTCCCCCCTCTATCCCTCTCTTCCTCTCTCCCCCCCTCTCTTCCTCTCTCCACCCTCTCCCTCCCCCCCCACCTCTCTCTCCAGCAGCAGCTCTCCCTCTCCCCCCCCCCTATCCCTCTCTTCCTCTCCCCCCCCCTCTCTCCTCTCTCCCCCCCCCTCTCTCTCTCCCTCTCTCTCCCTCTCTCTCTCCCTCTCTCTCTCTCCCCCCTCCCCCTCTCTCTCTCCCTCTCTCCCCCCCCCCCTCTCCTCTCTCTCTCTCCCCCTCCCCCTCCCTCTCCCCTCCCTCTCCCCCCCTCTTTCCTCTCTCCCTCTCTCTCTCTCCCCCCCTCTCTCCCTCTCTCTCTCTCCCCCTCCCCCCCCCCCTCCCCCCCTCCCCCTCCCTCCCCCCCCCTCTTTCTCCTCTCTCCCTCTCTCTCCCCCTCCTCCCCCCCTCTCTCCCTCTCTCTCCTCTCCCCCTCCCCCCTCCCTCTCTCCCCCCTCCCTCTCCCCCCCCTCTTTCTCCCTCTCCCTCTCTCTCCCCCTCTCTCTCCCTCTCTCTCTCCCGGCGTGCCATCTAAGGACAGCTCAGAGCTCCTCCCACCGCTGGAAATGCTATAGACCGAACACACACGTGTAGCTCTGCAGTGCCGTCTCCTCGTGTGAACTCACTCTCTTCTGCCGCATTTCACACACACACACACGTGAGCGCACACACACACACACACACACACACACACACATTGACACACAGTGTAAAGCCTCTCAATCGAACTCAATCTGCCACGGCTGAGGTATTAGTCACCAGGGAGAAAACGACGTGCACGTGACCACACACACACTAACCTTTACCAACCGTTGGTCTCTAATCTGATCACAACACGGAGAATAACGACAAAGACAAAGACAAAGAGATGGAGACACTCGGTCCAGAGCCTTCAGCGTCATTTCTTAAAGTAAAACACGAGTGAACATCTCAGTTTGGTTGGGAAAGATCAAGGACTGGGTTAATGTCAGTTAATTAAAAGTTAGGTCACTCACGGTCCGCAGTCTGAACCATTAATCCACGCCAACCACCTCCTTCACTTGGACCTTTCTCTTATTTATAGGCCTACTTCTGGCGCTGAACGATGACACTAGAGGGCTTCCCACTGCGTTAAAAAACTGACACCACGGGGTTTTTATCAAGCGTCCACCAGACTTGGGAGTGAGGACGGGTTGTGGAAAGAGACAGAATCAAGTTTCCATCCAAATGTAGTGCAAATCTTAACAGAGCTCCCAGAAAAACGTGGACTGAACCGGTTTCCATCTAATCAGAACTCTTATTGCAGCAGCTCGGTCGAGCCGGGTGCTGAGTGCAGATGATCCAGCACATAATCAGGAAAAAATATACATTTACGTGTACAGTGCGAGTAAAACACAAGCGTTTCTGTATGTCTGTCGTGTGAGAAGAAGGCGAAGCGAGCCTTATTAACATTGGGCTACTTCTGGGTTACGTAAAGCTAGTTAGTAAGCTAGTTAGCCGGACATGCTAACGTCTGTAGACAGTTTATTCCTTTCCTTAACACTTTTACTTGAAGTCAAAGAACGCTTTGCTCTACAGCTGCTTCGACGTGTGGACCGTCGCCTTCGTCTGCACAGACGTCCTTATAATACCAACCTAACACAGCCACAGATCTGCATGTGTCACAACTATCAAGCATGTTTTATCAGAGGGGATTCAGACACAGCGGAGGTGTTGAGGCGCTGCCAGATGTGGATTTTGAGTATCTGACTGAGCATTTCAGTCTCTTCCTCTTCTCCTACCCGGTACGTCGTGTACAAATGCTTAGGAACCGCTCCTGAAGATGAAGCGCTTTGAAGTGTTACACGCAGGTCTCACTCTGCACCAAATTAATCTTAATAAGGAGATTGGCAGCGTTGGAAAGAGCTGGCAGAATGACTGACAGCGCCTCATTCAGCGATGAAAAACGTCGGTGCTTTTTTAAGGACGGCAGGTAACTTTAAACTCTTGATTGACAAAATGAGAACACACGTCTCACCTGGGTCTTTAACAATTTAGAAATATTAAATGATGAATTACAGGGACGGATTGTTAATCCCTAATGAAGCACATTCCTCAAATTAATTCCTAAAATGCCGACTTCTCCTACAGTTAAGCCTAATTAATTAGTGCAGTGAGCCCCGGGGCTGCAGGTATTTATCAGAGAAATAAGTAATAAATGAATAAAAAGGATTTTATCTTTTTCTGTTGTTTTTAAGCATTACGCTGCCTCTTCAGAGGTTTTCCAGTCAGCGCAGGTGGGAGGTTTGTGCCTTCTGTGGCATGAAGAAGCACACATTTCATCCACGAAGACACAATAACAACAAACTCCCCGCTGAGTCAAGAAAGAACTCTCCATGTAGAGACAATAATGGAAAGTAATGGACGCCCAGCAAACAGAGTAAAGAGAATGAAACGCTAACGGATGATAAAAGACTGAACGGGCTGGCAGCGCTTCAGTGTTTACTGTCGCCGTCAGCATCAAGTTTAACACCAACTGATCCCGGTCTGATCAGTCAGTAATCAGTAATGATATCGCATCTGAAGCTAAAAGTCCAAACACAAATTATTATTAAAAAGGCGTTTGTGCTGTTGCTGTTAAACCAAATGATTGTGAGCTGCAGCAGACAGGAGAAAACAAAGCGAACGCCGACAACAGCGATAAACAGAAAGCAATCAAAAGCTGCTCCTGCCCGGAAAATAAAATTACAGCCACGGTGCAACTTGTCATTAGGCCGAGGACGTTGAGATGAGTTTAATCAAACCTCCAGTTAATTCACATTTCCTACGTGTTGGCGGCCGTGCCCTGACGCCGAGCTACAGGACTGCTTCTGTTCTGTCCACAAGAAGGAAATGATCAAACTGCTGTTCCTCACATTATTTACTTTATTGAAAATTATACATAAAAAATACCAACTTCAACTGTCATGGTAACAATTTATCCTAAATACTACACGTTCCCATCCCAACTCCTCACATGTGGTCGCTTTTCACTCCCCTTTGGTTCCCTTTAGCTTCGTTTATATATCTATATATCGTCATAGTTTCTGTCCAAAGGTAAGAAAAGGTGTTTTTTTTACATTCATTTGCTGATTTGAATCATCTTTATTATCGACCAGCAGGACTAAAGTCCTTCCTAACAAAGCTCAGAGGATTCAAAGAGCAAAACGTTCCTGCTTTCGGTTTCAGCACGTTCGTTTGCTCTCGGTCACAGCCGATTGGTGGCTGTGGCTCAGCTCTCCTGCAGGACTCTCTCCTCCAGTCGGGCGTAACGCTTCAGCATCTGGTCGTACACCTGAAACACACGGACACAGAAATGTTTCCCGTCAGCAGGATCACAGACCTGAAGGTCCAGCTGACAGCGGTGAGCAAGTACTGAGAAACTTCACTGGATGTAAAAGTAGCTCATTGCTGTTTCATGTTTCCCGTCATGTTGCCGCTTCATGTTTAATATCCTGCTGTGTGTGTGAGGTGTTTCAGCAGAGCTCATTATTTATGGATGAGCTGTGCTGTTTAATTATGGAAGACGAACATGAGAGAGCATCACTCCCGTAAACATACAACTACATTAGAACAACATGGAGCCGTGTGGAGGGAGGGAGGGGAAAATGAAACTGATGAGGGAGGAATCGCTGCTTTGGTAAATATACAACTGTCTGTGAGCGAGAGAGAGAGAGAGAGACTTCCTGTAATTAAAACATCTGTTGCATATTTTATCCGGATGTAAATCGTCCCTGAGTGCGTGCAGAGGAAGAGCAGGAGAGCCTTAACCAAGAAACACTTTGGGAATTCAGCGGGAGACTGGCTCAGTACCCTCATGTACCCTGGAGATCAGGTCCGGCTCGTTCCCTCTCAGAGCTTCTCTCCTCCCGCTGCAGCGTTGTGGACTTGAAGAGCATCATCAACTCTGTGCTGCATGAAACCAGCTTGTAAACGCAGTCCTGCCAGCAGCAGGACGGGCGCGGACTGTGGTGAACTGTGGGAAACGCTGAGCTCTGAATAGTGTTAGGATCTCATCACTGTGTTGTGTGACACACCCGGCTGCTGTTGTATGAAGACTCGCGTGTTGGTACCAGGGCCACACCAGGGCCACACCAGGGCCACACCAGGGCCACACCAGGGCCACACCAGGGCCAGACCAGGGCCAGACCAGGGCCACACCAGGGCCACACCAGGGCCACACCAGGGCCACAAAGTTCCCGTCCGAAGTCCAGGCAGGAAGAGTCCAAGGTGGGATTTTTCCCAGTTTGGTGTTACAGAAGAAAATCCTGTCTTCTCTCAGGTTAAACACTCGATCCAACTTTACTGTCTGTAACCATCTCGCCGAGCTAATCGGCTTTTAATCGCTCTTCTCTGGTCATTTTTATGAAGAAAGAAACTGAAAAATGGAGCAGAAACAACAACAACAGCTCTCACTGAGCTTCAAGTCAGAGGACTTGATATCTAAGTCCACATAAACCTTAACAGGGGAGATTAAAGACAGAGAGAGGCTCCTCCTCCTGGGGCTCCTCCTCCTGGGGCTCCCCCTCCTGGGGCTCCTCCTCCTGGGGCTCCTCCTGCTGGGGCTCCCCCTCCTGGGGCTCCTCCTGCTGGGGCTCCCCCTCCTGGGGCTCCTCCTGCTGGGGCTCCCCCTCCTGGGGCTCCTCCTGCTGGGGCTCCTTCTCATGGGGCTCCTCCGGCGGGGGCTCCCCCTCCTGGGGCTCCTCCTCCTGGGGCTCCTCCTCTGGGGCTCCTACTCCCTCCCTCACTGACCTCGGCAGAAACCCGTGCTCTTCTTGTGAAAGTTGTCATGAAGCTAAATTATAATATTAATAATAATAATAATAATAATAATAATAATATTAAGGGTGACGTCATGTTTTCATGTATTTCTTGAATTTCTTCATTTTGTAAAAGCAATTAAAGAGCTAACCCAAAGCTAGAATCAAGCAATGTGATTGGTTCATAGCAGTGATATAATGAGCGAATGACGTTGAATTCCTTCCCGCAGATCCGTATCACTCTGCCACAAACAGGGTTCGACTTATAATCCGTGGGGGTCTCAGGCATTTTAACCGGCCGAGATAAATGATAATAAATAAATAATGAGAGAGATCATTCCTCATTACGTGATATATTATCTATTATATATTACATATGTGATATAACAGGTTACGTAGGTGATGCGGCACCTGAGAGGAAGTAAAGGTAAATAACACGATTCCTCTTCAAATACAGAACACTCCCTTTTATGGGAACGTGTGCAACATATATTTGTAACTATGCGAAATAAATAAATGATCTAAAACAATCAAACAGCAGAAGAGTTCGGCGATGTTCTTCAAAATAAAAGTCTATAATGCAGCCGCGTCCCTCCTCTGCACGTGCTGCTGCTGTCTCTGTTTTCATCTGATTTGCATATTCCTGCATTCATCGTGATTCTTCGTGCAGATGAATCGGCGTTAAACTGCAGCCGGTGAAGAGGCGCAGACGGGTCGAGCTGTCAAACATTTGAGGGTAATTAAACCGAGCTGGTTGAGATGAACCCTCTGTCTCATACCTGAGGTGACCCCGCCCCCCCGGGAGGCTGAGGAGTGACTGACAGACTAAAAGAAAAAAGGAAAACCCGATCACTGCTCTCCCTGCGACCCTCGCCTCCTTCATCGGCCCTTTCTTCATCACCTCGCTGCTCTCAGAGTTTCACTCTGTCGCTGGAAATCTCTTTAAAATTTTTTTCCTTCATTATCAGTTTTGTTTTTGAGGAATTGTTTTTCTCCTCTTCCTTCTTATCTTTGAAGTGAAGGGCCGCTTTATTTGAAATTCCTCCTGCTCTCTGCCCAGAGACAGGAGGAAAGACACACGCTGATGTCTAAATGCTGCAAATGAAACGAGACTAAAGACTCAGAGTAAAATTAGACTCTTTGAAGTACGAAGAAACAAACCTGACCTGAATTTAAAAAACTGTTTCCTGTGAGCTGTGGTTGGAGGAGGAGCCGATTGCTTTTTAAACCAAAGCGTCCTCACAGTTTGTTGTTACCCTGGCTTTTATTTCTAGCAGTCATTTTGTTCTCTGCTCTGGAAACTGCTAACATGTCAGTAAAGATCATTTCAAATGGAAATCAGCTGGGGGGGGGGGCTGATCTTAAAATATTTTCTTTGAATTTACACCGTTTCACTGAGTTAATGTCGTTTTGTCCCTAACAAAGCCTGTTCATAGGAAAAGGTGAAATAACATATGGGAGACAAACAGAAGACAAGAATTACTCACAGGCAGCAACAAACACTCTCACAGGCAGCAACAAATACTCTGACAGGCAGCAACAAATACTCTGACAGGCAGCAACAAATACTCTGACAGGCAGCAACAAATACTCTCACAGGCAGCAACAAACACTCTCACAGGCAGCAACAAACACTCTCACAGGCAGCAACAAATACTCTGACAGGCAGCAACAAATACTCTCACAGGCAGCAACAAATACTCACAGGCAGCAACAAATACTCTCACAGGCAGCAACAAATACTCTCACAGGCAGCAACAAACACTCACAGGCAGCAACAAATACTCTGACAGGCAGCAACAAATACTCTCACAGGCAGCAACAAACACTCTTACAGGCAGCAACAAACACTCTCACAGGCAGCAACAAACACTCTCACAGGCAGCAACAAATACTCTGACAGGCAGCAACAAACACTCTGACAGGCAGCAACAAATACTCTGACAGGCAGCAACAAACACTCTGACAGGCAGCAACAAACACTCTCACAGGCAGCAACAAACACTCTCACAGGCAGCAACAAACACTCTCACAGGCAGCAACAAACACTCTCACAGGCAGCAACAAACACTCTCACAGGCAGCAACAAACACTCTCACAGGCAGCAACAAACACTCACACAGGCAGCAACAAATACTCACAGGCAGCAACAAATACTCTCACAGGCAGCAACAAATACTCACAGGCAGCAACAAACACTCACAGGATTTACAGCATTAAGAAACTATTGACAGGATGTCAACAATGTTTACTGTACAATGTTTTAGTTTCGTTCTGTTGTATTTCCACTTTTTATTTTGGCGTTTGTGTTGTCACGTCCTGTCTGTCTTCTGCTTCTGGTCCTTGATCATGTTTAGTCAGTTGTTCCACGTTGTCTCTGTTGTTAAATCACTCCTCGTGTGTTAGTGTGTACTTTACTTCCTGCGTTCTGCCTGATTGTGTCCACCTGAGCTTGTTTGGACAGATTCTCTTGGATATTTAGGTTCTCTTGGATATTTAGGTTCTCTTTGTCCGATTGTTAGTTTGCTTCCTATTGAGTGTCTGTAATTGGTTCTCTGGATGGGGATAGGCTGCCCTCCTCAGCGTCGCTCTTTTCGTTCGGTCATTAAACACCATGAACTGCACCTGCTCTGCATTTGGGCCCAGACCCCCCGTTTCTGCATCTTCGCCTGACAAAGTCTAACATACAATCTGAAACAGGGTTTAAATACAAACTGCAGGTGTGTTTCCTCTCAAGTGTGCAGCCCGTTCTCACTACCATCACGAGACCTGGATTCAATTCAAGTCCGAGTAAGGAGGTGTTCTGGGTGGAAAGGTGGGCCAAAACCTGGAGCCCTGAGGCCGGAGTTTGTTACAGTGATTCTAACCAGACTGCAACGCTGTCGTTTCACAAAGTTAACCGCCTGTTTTATTTCTGTCTAACCAGACGCTGCATATTTATTCTGGACCGCGGAGCCCTGAATGTGCACACGCTAAAGGTTACCCGGGGCGGCGGGTGTTGACTCAGCGTCCATGTGCAAGGCTCTGGGAAGAGAGGGGGTTAAAATGTGACGCAGGCTTTAATCAATGGACGGATGTCACCTAGTCAGATCCACCGCCGTCCCGCTGATCAGCGTCTAAACGCTCCGGACGACACATCCAGGCTACGGATCTGCTCCCAACTATCAGCCTGAGAAAAACCAGTATAATCAGGTTCCCTCTGTACTGTGAATTCAGGAAAAGGTTCCCCACTAACTTCCACTCTGTGTGTGTGAACGGCCTGTCATGTAACTTCTTCACCGCTGTTCCACAAGGGAACAAGACATTTAATGAAGAGGCTGTGAAAGTAGGACAGTGTGTGTGTTTGCATCTGCAGCCATGAATGTTTAAATGCGTGTGTGTCTCGTGTTTTCCTGCCTCGGGCCAGCAGCAGGTCTGACTGTCAGCCGTTAACACTGTGGTGTTGTGAAGAAACTAGTACGACACCTTTAGTGTCTCCACAGGGAGCTGCGCTGCGCTAGCTGTTCCACCTCAGTCTCAAAGTCAGTAGGCAAGATGCATTGTGGGTGACGTGGGTGTCAGGTTTTGATAAGTGTGTGGAATTAAAAAGAGGATGCTCTTCTGTATCGATGAGTCTTCTAATGACCAACAACTGAAGCTGTCACAGCCCTCACAGGTTTACAAAGAGAACATTCAGTAAAATGAGCTCCAGCAGCTGCAACATCAACTTTACATATACGTATATATGGATCTGCAGGTAAAGGTGCAGCTGATCATCGATCAGCAGCGTACAGCAAAGGACTCGGCTGGACGCTCTCATCTCTCCACACTGAGCCATGTCTAACTCTTAAAGGGGAGATTTTGCTGGTAACACTTGTGTACTTAACGGAGTAATTAAAGGATCACATGATCTTCCTCGGCAGGTGGACTTCACACGGCTGTCCTGGAGTGGCAGACGTGCAAATTTACACATTACCTGAGCAGCTGGAACATTTAATCTCAGCTTTTAAGCCAACAAGTCTGAAAAGTACTCAGAAGACGGTAAACTCCACGACAGCAGGGCAAACTCCCTCTGCTGCTGAAGATCATGTGAAAGAGTCAAAAGCTCCAGAACTGCTCTCAAACACAGACCTGTGGGAGACTAAAGTTTGTCTGTGGACACAGAGTCGTAATGTTGAAAACCGAAACACAAGTTTGTCTGAAATTCAAGCAGTTTAACTTGGTAAATGGTAAAAACACACAAACACACACACCAGCAGTTGGTGGTTTAAATCTCCGCCCCCACACAACACTTCACAACCTCGCGAGTGATGAGCCAAGCAAAACGCCAAAACTCAACAGCGTGTGTGTGTGAGTGTGGGAGGACATACTGCAGGGAAATATGAAGCTCCATACACCAGTAAAACACACTGTGACTAATTTAATAAATGCTAATTAGACTGCTGAGGAACAGAAGCTGTGTGTGCGTGTGCGTGTGCGTGTGCGTGTGCGTGTGCGTGTGTACCTCCGGCGCTGAAGGGTCCGGGGTGGCGACCAGTTGTGGTTCCGGTGCGTTCTTCACCACATCCAAGAAGGAAACTCCAGATTCTGCAACCAGGCCTGAAAACACACGTCAACCAATCAGAGAATCAGGTTTCTGCATCACTAGCCAATCAGACGGCTACTTAGAGCGCCATCAACCAATCAGAAGTTTAGGTTTTGATCCTGCATCGTTAACCAGTCAATCAGTGAGTTACTCACTCATCAGGAGCTCATCTCAGGGCGTCATATACCGACGATTTGAAAAAGAGCGACAAAGCGTGTTATCTGTGTGAGACGCTCTGCGGCGTCCCGTACAGACCGGAAGCGCTAGTTAGCTGCGGTAGCTAGCTAGCTAGCTACGTTCGTGATAAAGGCGTTGACAGCCCCCGAAGCCCCTACCCTTACCACAACCATCAGAAATGTTAGTACCTAAACCTAAGTCACTGAATGTATGCATGTCGACCGGCTAACGATACAGCAGCTAACAGGCAGGGTTAGCCTCCCGTGTGTTGCTGCAACGTAGCAAACGGGGGCGTTTCATACGGACTCTGAACCTTTAGCAGAAAAATCATTACGCTTTGTCACGCTGTCTCAAAGCGTCAGTTACGACGCATTTAGATGAGAATGTGTTCTGCATATTTACTCTTCAACCACTGTTAACCAATCAGCAGAGAGTCATTAACCAGCCTGTATCATTAAGAAATTACAGTTACTGCTTCATTAAGCAATCGTCAGGCTACTTCCTGGATGTTAAACAATCAATCACACGGGTTAGGTTGCCACAGAGTTACTTTCTACATTTTCAATCAAACAGATTAAGATTTTGAGCAAGCGGCAAACTCTGGCTCTCATGGCTGAAGCCAATGGGAAGTAATCTGCGTCCTCTCCAGCAGCCAGCAGGGGGCGAATCCAGCAGCTGCAGAAAGAAGTGTGATTGTATAGAAGTCTGTGATAAAATGTTTCTACTTGTCAGCTGATTTATTCCCTCAGTAAACACTTTCCTGATGAGTTTATGGTATCAGTCGCTAGTTTCAAGTCTTCTTCAACACAGCATGATGTTCATTTAGTAAATTATGGTCTCATTTAGAGGAACAGAGACCAGGAAGCAGGGGAGGCTTTAGGGCGGGGCTACAAGCTGATTGACAAGTCTCTACCATGGCGACCTATCACCTGTCTCGTATCCGCTGCTCTGTGTACATTAACCAACCGCTGAAAAAGCTTATCAGGAGTCAGCTGCTCAGTTTTCAAGTTTTGTTTAAGCTTGTTTGTTGCTAGCTAAAATTAGCATCCCAGCTAATATCACAGTTAACGTGAATTACAGATGCACCCAGATAACCAAGCAAGCTAGCTCCGCCCTCTTTTCCAAATATGGTCACGTCTGGTTCCAAAAACCCAAGATAGCGACGACCAAACTCAAGGCTTCAAAAAGGTAGTCCACAAACCAACTGGTGATGTCACAGCGGCTACGTCCCTCATTTATACAGTGAATGTTTTTGAGTCATTATCCAATCAATAAGTTCTTTAACTGGGAACTAATCCGTGCATCTGCATCGTTAACCAATCACAAGTGTGTTAGGCCAGATGGTTGAGTAATGAGCAGGTTAGTTACATCATAAAGTCGTTAAGCAATCAGTTACTGCTTTGCCAACCAATCATTTGTTTTGTTCTTTGTTACACACTCAGTGTTCCTGGTTCATTAACCAATCAGTTAGTTCCTTTCATTAAGCAATGAGCACATCTGCACTGGTAACCAATCAGGTTAGTGTGTCATTAACCAATCAAACTTTTAGTTCTTCACAGCCAATAACAACTCAGGTGGTTTAGTTTCCAAGGTCTTAAACCAATCAGAGGTCTTTTTCCCAGGAGACATTTCAGCTCCACAGGTGCAGATAATAAACTGAGTGATGGCTGGATTCCATTCAGCTGCTTTAGCTTCACGGTGGCTCGCTGAGACGCCCGAATCAAACATTTTGTGCTTCAAAGGTTGAGCTGGGAAACAGATGTGTGAGCAGGTTAGCTCATTAACCAATCTGAGCGTTTGCATTTTACACAACAAGAACAAAATCAATAAGTATAAAAACAAACATGATTACTACGTGATGATTAACTAATCAGCAGTGTTGTTCCTTTGTTGTTAGCTCTCTGTGCTTCAGTCTCAGCGCCGCCGCCGCCACTAATTAGTCTCAGAGGACGTTAACCAATCGGAGGTCCGGCTCGGAGTCTGGTGACCAATTAGTGGTGGACCAATTAACAGACCAGAGGTCGTTAAGCAAACACCATGGGAACACACATTCATTTACGTCACGCTGAGTGTGTCGCGGCGTTAATCACACACAGAAGGTCAGGACGATGCTGAGGAAGCTTATTAGCTCAGCGAAACGCACACAGAAGGTCGGGAGAGGAGCTGCGTCTGAGGACTTTGTGTCACGACCTCATCGAGACAAAGGATCGCGGGACGGACATGTACTGTCTTTTTCGGCCCCCATGATGCACTGTGTGTGTTTTACTACCCCGCCGTCGAGGTGAGCTGCCTCCTGACAGAGCAGAGGACAAACACACAGGCTTGTTAACCAATCCAGGTTTCCATCCTCAAACACTTCAGCAACGTGTTTCTGATTTTTTTGTACATACAGATTTCTTTTTTGTTAGTGTCTCTGTGGATGTCCAGCCGTCCGTCCACTTTATTTCAGGCTGAAATGTTATTAGATTGTAAATAGTTTGTTATTAAAAATCCTTAGATGGATATATGGAGGTTTTACACTCATCACGGTTCCCAGAGGATGAACCAGACTCGGACGTGTGATGCACTTCTGCTCTGGTTTCCTGAGTTAACGTGACATAAAGAAGAAGCTCTCACCTGCGTGGTGATTGGACCACTGCCTGACCTTTAAACTACATGAGCTCAAGTACAGGATCAATAAACTAATAACAACACCGTGCGTATTACTTAGAGACGGGCGAGTCTCCCGAGGTCTCAGACCAAAATTAAACTGGATTAGAGTAAACAGGCCGTGTGTTTGCTCTGCGAGACCGAGCTGAGTGAGAGGGACGTTGAGGCATCTCATTAATTCAGACAAACAGCGCCGGCTGACCATTAATCGAACACCGATTCCATCACATGGCTTTACTTTACAGTTTCTGGACCAGCTGGGGAACTGAAATAATGCTCCATCCTCACATTGGTTCGATTCAGGAACCGAACCTTTGGGTCTGAGCCCGGCTTCAAAGACAAGAGCTGGAACCATCCATGTAAAAATCAGACAGCTCGCTCGATGAAGCGGTTTAGTACGAGCCCTCTTTTCCCAGACTCTCGACTATGGAGGTGCAGAGTTGATTTATACTGCTGCCGTGCCGTCGTGAACATTTACACTTCTATATTTTAATGTTGGACTTTTCTACACTCTTAATGCTTTATACTTCCTACCCTCGGCTGTGTTGTGTGACAGATGTTTTTATTTCGCCCTCCTGACCCGGTTAAACAAAGGGGATTAAATTAGCAAGGTTGGATGAATCAGGTGTCCTCCTGGTTCCTCAGAGCTCCAGCACCACAGAGCAGACGCTTCACTGTTGTTTCTGTAACGCTGAGGAAAGGATTGCAGCACTAATGCAAGATGAATGCGTGAAGAGGATTTCTGTGCATCCAGCTCTGTTGCAGAGTAATTGCATGAAGCCCCCCCCTCCCGGCCCCCCCGAGGCGCCGCCGCCCCTGAGTGAATCAGCGTTCGTCATTAACACCAGGAGGATTGCATTAAGTCTTTTCAAGCCCACGCAACTCACTTTAGATTCTGAAACGCGGTGGGGAGGCTTGAAAGCGCGGGGAGACGGCGGCTGGCGCTGAAGGCCCGACTCTCCTCCTCCACCTCCTGCATACATATTTGATGGCTGTCACACGTGAAATAATCAGCGGCGGAGGGTGTTTGCTATCTCGCCGCTCGCCCAGTCTCTTTCATGTGGAGCGGGCGGGGAATCGTTTTCATCTGGTTTTATGAAGACATGCTACTCGCAGAGATGAAAGGCCCTGATGAGCAGAGAGGAGATGGACGCAGATCCGTTTATCTCATCTAAATGGCTCAGAGTGTGTGAGGAGATAAAGTCCAGCTGTCGAACACACCCGAGTCCTTTACTACGCTTTAAATAAAGACCGACCTGCGCATCAATACTCAGCTGCAGGTCCACTTACTTTCCAGTTTTCAGTCAGATTTTACGTGGCCAGTCAGACTGGACAGCAGAGCAGACAGGTGTTGTGCAGAAAAGTGAGCGAGCTCAGTGTGTTAAAGCTGTATCGCCCCGTCTCTCTTTACGACTACAGCTGCTTTTATCTGGATCCAACAGACATAATGTGCAAATAAACATCACTTTATGACTGTGGTAACAGCAAAGGTTTGTCTTGAATGTCTTGTCTTGTCTTGATGAAACTTTAATGTTTCTTTTAACAGAATAATCGCAATTGTGGCCAAATAAGTGTTTGCAGTTTACAGCGTAACCACGCCAGACATTTTTACATGATTATAGCCAATAACAGAAGCCTGTTGTTGCTGATGGATGATGTGTTTGGTAGGCGTGTGTCTAATATCCTTGTTTATATTTGGAAAACCTATAATTTACATGACTTACTGCTGAGTTACAAAAAAGACATGATCTATTTTACAATTATCCTTATGACTCTACATTCTTTAACTTACCTTTAATGCCCAATACAACACATGTAATGCAGTTTTCCACTTCCAGAAAATGACTGCAGCTTTATTGACTGAAAGGTTATTTCTACCCTGAAATGACTTGAGGGTTATATTTGACAGATTATAACTCTCCTGGAATTTTTTCTACCTCTTAAAATACCTTTAAATGGCCAAAACAACACATAAAATGCAGTGTTCTATTTGCCTGACAGTAATTTCAGCCTCTACTTATTGACTGAAAGGTAGTTTCTGCCTCAAAATGACTTGATTTCATTCAGGAGAGTTATATTTGACAGATTATAAAACCTAAATCATCCTCTTTTTTTTTCATATATAATAACATTATATTTTTTAATCACATATTAACCACCAAACCAAAAATGTCCCCGGTGGTAACAGCAGAAAGAGAGCTGTGGGGCAGAAACAGAAACAGTACTGAATGTAATGAAAAGGACTATAATATGAAGTGTCAGCCAGAAAAATCAGATGTGAGCATTGAGGCCTGCAGAGGGAACGCAGCCTTAGTTGTTGGGGTTAGTAGCGGTACTCCAAAATGCTAATGTTGGATCACAGTGTTTAATAACAAACCAAGTAGCTTCGAAGCAAATATCTTTTTCTGTCTGGTCTCCATATGAACCAGTTCTCTTCTGGAAATTCAGAAGCACGAGTCCTTGTTTGTCCATCATTTAGTTCAAGCTGTGGTCAACACTGATTGGCTGCGGCACCCTCTTTTAAATAATCTCCTTTCTTTCTACATTTGTCTTCTATTCTCTAAACTTCTTTTATCCATTCTTACGTTCCATTTTTCTTTTGTACCTAAAATCTGTCTTTCCGACCGTCTTTAACTCCTCCCGTCTTTATTTCCTTCTCTGCACTCTGCTCTCCAACATAGACATTTCAAAATAAAAGCTCACAGTACAATAATGCATAATAAATTTATGCCAGGAGAGATCGTCTTTGTGATGACGACCTCCACAGTGCTGCAGCAGTATCGGCAGTATCAGCAGTATCAGCAGTATCAGCAGTGTCGGCAGTATTAGTAGTATCGGCAGTATTAGTAGTATCGGCAGTATCGGCAGTATTAGTAGTATCAGCAGTATTAGTAGTATCGGCAGTATCGGCAGTATTAGTAGTATCAGCAGTATCAGCAGTATTAGTAGTATCGGCAGTATTAGTAGTATCGGCAGTATTAGTAGTATCGGCAGTATTAGTAGTATCGGCAGTATTAGTAGTATCGGCAGTATCGGCAGTATTAGTAGTATCAGCAGTATTAGTAGTATCGGCAGTATCGGCAGTATTAGTAGTATCAGCAGTATCAGCAGTATTAGTAGTATCAGCAGTATCGGCAGTATTAGTAGTATCAGCAGTATTAGTAGTATCGGCAGTATTAGTAGTATCGGCAGTATTAGTAGTATCAGCAGTATTAGTAATATCGGCAGTATCGGTAGTATCAGTATCGGCAGTATCATCAGTATCGGTATCATCAGTATCGGCAGCAGCAGTATCGGCGGCAGCAGTATCAGTATCAGCAGTATCAGTATCAGCAGTATCAGTATCAGCAGTATCGGCAGCAGCAGTATCAGTATCATCAGTATTGGCAGCAGCAGTATCAGTATCAGCAGTATCAGTATCAGCAGTATCGGCAGCAGCAGTATCAGTATCATCAGTATTGGCAGCAGCAGTATCAGTATCAGCAGTATCAGTATCATCAGTATCGGCAGCAGCAGTATCGGCAGCAGCAGTATCGGCAGCATCAGTATCGGCAGTATTGGCAGCAGCAGTATCAGTATCAGCAGTATCAGTATCATCAGTATTGGCAGCAGCAGTATCAGTATCAGCAGTATCAGTATCATCAGTATCGGCAGCAGCAGTATCGGCAGCATCAGTATCGGCAGTATCAGTATCATCAGTATCGGCGGCAGCAGTATCGGCAGTATCAGTATCAGCAGTATCAGTATCAGCAGTATCGGCAGTATATCTGTGTTACCGTGCAGAGCTCTGTAGGCCGACCCCAGGCAGGCGGAGTTGGACAGATCGATGGTGTAAACCGGAGCGTTGAAGACGTCAGACAGAACCTGCGACGGAGAGAAAAGGAAACGAGTTACAGCTTCTGGCTTCCTCCATTAATTAAGCAAACAAAGAACGTCCCAAAAATGAGAAAGAATCATTAGCGGGTTTGTATCTGAAATGAATGAAGCAGTTAAAGGAACAGCCCACAGGTGATTCCCGTGTTTCCCCTGGAATTATCCATAAGCAGCAGCTTCCACACACCTCTGACGGAGACACTGCCACCAAGAAACGTGTGAAACATTAATTACTAAATCTTCCAAACTCCATGAAAATAAAGCAAACACAGTGAACCAATCAGAAAACACGTGACGCCTTCTTATCAACAGAAAGGTTCCCAGGTCAGTTAGTGAGCAGCGGACCTCCAGGATCAGGTCCTTAACATCGAGGGACGAGAGTCTTCAAATATGCCAGAAATAAAACAACCACATTTTATCTCTCGTTTCATTTGAGTTGAAAAGCTAATCAAAAGTTTAACTAAAGGTTAGATAGTGAATATTCAGGTGAAACACTGCAGGCGAGGTGTCGGCTGATGAGGACGCCCTGAAAGTCCTGAAAGCAACTGGTGGACAGTAATGAGAAGCAGGAGGACTGACCTGCAGAATCTCTTTGTTAGATGAAGCGCCGCCTGTTGCCAACACTCTGGTTCCTGGAACTGCAAACAGACGTTTCAGGGTTCGGCCGGGACTGAAAGTGAAGCAGCTGGTACGTTTGTAAAGAGCCGCTCAGATTTAGATATCCCCTCTGCTGCTCAGGCCCAAACACAAGGTAAAGCCAGGACTCACAGAAAGTCCAGCAGAGACAGGGAGGACTGAAGGAAGGATGGAGGACGGGGACGTTAAGAAAAGGACAGAAAACATTAGAAATCTTACTGATGGAGTAGCCCAGCCTCTCAGCGTGGAGTCTCCTGGACATAAACTGACCCTCCACCAGCGCCCGAACCTCCACCTGAGGACTCAGAGAGGACACCTGCAGGACCAGGACAGGGGGGACAGGTGGAGCATGAACGAGCACAGAGGACTCAGAGGAAGAAGCGATGAAACTGTCTCTCTCTCTGTGTGACTGAATGTCTCTCTCTCTCTCTCTCTGTGTGACTGAATGTCTCTCTCTCTCTCTCTGTGTGACTGAATGTCTCTCTCTCTCTCTCTCTCTCTGTGTGACTGAATGTCTCTCTCTCTCTCTCTCTCTGTGTGAGTGAATGTCTCTCTCTCTCTCTGTGTGACTGAATGTCTCTCTCTCTCTCTCTGTGTGACTGAATGTCTCTCTCTCTCTCTGTGTGACTGAATGTCTCTCTCTCTCTCTCTGTGAGTGAATGTCTCTCTCTCTCTCTCTGTGAGTGAATGTCTCTCTCTCTCTCTCTGTGAGTGAATGTCTCTCTCTCTCTCTCTGTGTGACTGAATGTCTCTCTCTCTCTCTCTCTCTCTCTCTGTGACTGAATGTCTCTCTCTCTCTCTCTCTGTGGATGGATGATGTCATGCTCCTGGTCAGAAATCAAGCTGAAATTAATATTGTTGGAAATATTGTGTCTGAGTTTGGTCTTATCTCTGCTGCAAAAGTGAATTGGACAAAAAGTGAAGCTCTAGCAGTTGGAAACTGGGTTGGTGGTCTTCCGGTCCTGCCGGGGGGGTTGGGATGGAGAAATGATGGTATAAAGTATCTAGGTGTTTATCTTGGCAAAGAAGAAATGGTGAAAAGAAACTGGGAGGGCATGATAGAGACGATGAAAGGAAGGTTGAAAAAGTGGAAATGGCTGCTTGCTCAGATGTCTTTTAGAGGAAGAAGTCTAGTAATCAACAACCTTGTAGCTTCAGCACTGTGACATCGTTTAGCTTGTATGGAGCCACCTGCTGGTTTACTCTCAAAACTACAAGCAGTTTTAGTGGACTTTTTTGGGACAGGTTACACTGGGTACCTCAGAGGGTGCTTTTTTTACCAAAAGAAGAAGGGGGGAAAGGCCTGGTACACCTAGCAAGCAGAGTGGCAACTTTTCCATTTCAGTTTGCACAGAGATATCTGACTGGTTTTAAATACCCAGTGTGGAAAGAGTTTGCAAGCAGCATTTTAAGGAGAGCAGACAGGTTAGGACTTGACACTGCTTTGTTTTTAATGGATGTTGTTATTTAAATCTGTCTGTATTGCCTGATTTTTATAAGGGAGTTTTTAAGGCCTGGCACCTTTTTAAGAAGAGACGGTTGGAGCCGTCAGTCTCCCTGTACTGGTTACTGAACGAGCCTCTGATCGGTGGATCCACAATGGACATACAGGACAGTGGTACACCAGGCCTCCATCACACGCTCCGTTCTGCTGGCGCTACAACTCTCAGACGGATAGTGGATGTAGCTGGACCTGGTTTTATGAACACTGAGGCTGTGGCTGCACTGATTGGACTAAAATCTGTGCGTCACGTGAGGAACATTGTGAATGGTTGGACTAACAAACTAACAGCAGCGGATAACGAGCTGTTGAGGATGTAGTGGAAAGGTGAGGAAGCTCCGGACGAAGAGGACCCTTTTCCAGAGTTGGGACTGGTACCCAATCTTGACTGTTGTTCTAGTCTATTGTTGGATGTCAGGCATCAGAAGGTCCCAGATCTGCACACGGTGACGGGTAAAATGATTTACAGGTGTTGTGTAAAAACAAGTTAAATGGTAGAAGTGACACAGTGTGGAGGGAGAAACTGGGGGTTAGTAACGCTGTGAAGCCCACCTGGAGAGTCTTTTACAAACTTCCTTTAAAGAAGCGTACAGGTGACTTACAGTGGAGAATATTACATGGGGCTGTTGCAGTGAATTCTTTTATCTCTGTGATTAATCCCTCTGTCTCTGACGGCTGTCCTTTCTGTGGGCTGCTGGAAACTGTTGTTCATTGTTTTTTAGAGTGCAGCAGACTGGGGGAACTGTTCAATGTGTTGGGGTGCTTGTTTGCTTCTTTTAATGAAGTGTGGTCTAACACTGCTTTTGTTTTTGGAGCAGGTTACAGGAAGACTAATGCAACAAAGTGGCAACTGTTAAATTTTATTGTAGCAGAAGCCAAACTGTCCATATACATGAGTAGAAAGAAGCAGGTAGAAGGACGGCTGTGTGGAGACGTAGTCCCTGTGTTCACCTCTCTGGTCAAAGCCAGAGTGTTAGTGGATTTTAAGTTCCATCAGCTGATGAACAGCTTGGATGTGTTTGTACGTCAGTGGTGTTATGATGATGTCATCTGTTCTGTGGTGGATGAAGAAGTCAGTTTTAGTCGTGTTTTCAGCTAATTTGATGTTTTTATTTGTTTTCTTTTCTCTAAATGTCAACCGGTTGATTCTGACTTATTGAATGTTCTTATGTTTGTGAATCAGTGATGTTTTATTAAAGTGGGTTTAAAAAGTCAAAAAAAAAAGTCTCTGTGTGAGTGAATCTCTCTCTCTCTCTCTCTCTCTCTGTGTGAGTGAATCTCTCTCTCTCTCTCTCTCTGTGTGACTGAATGTCTCTCTCTCTCTCTGTGACTGAATGTCTCTCTCTCTCTCTGTGTGAGTGAATATCTCTCTCTCTCTCTCTCTGTGTGACTGAATGTCTCTCTCTCTCTCTGTGTGACTGAATGTCTCTCTCTCTCTCTCTGTGTGACTGAATGTCTCTCTCTCTCTCTCTCTCTCTCTGTGTGAGTGAATATCTCTCTCTCTCTCTCTCTCTCTCTGTGTGACTGAATGTCTCTCTCTCTCTCTCTGTGTGACTGAATGTCTCTCTCTCTCTCTGTGTGACTGAATGTCTCTCTCTCTCTCTCTCTGTGTGACTGAATCTCTCTCTCTCTCTCTCTCTGTGTGACTGAATCTC